TATAATTTTGCTATAAACATTTATATAGAATGTTACATCTTTAATGACAGAACAAAATTAGAATCCTTTAATTTTTAGGTAGAGTTCACTTGATAGTCATTGAAACACTGAAAGAGATGAATTTAGGGATGAATAAAAAAATCCCTCTATATTTTGCCATCCAGGGACCAACTGCTTCCAGAAAAACTTACATTTATAGATAATAAGGTCTTAAAAAAATACTCCTAGAACTGTATCTGTTGTTTTATTTTGTAGCACAATTCTTCTTAAGTTGAAAAACTGTAACATCTTAATTAACTAGCCTCTATTATTTACAAGAATCTGCAGTCCTTTTACCAGTGCTGTCTTCAAGCAGGTTCAACAGTTGGCCTGTGCACATCTCACACAGTGAATTTGAAAATGCAAACACTTATTGCATTTTATTTGCTGCATGTGAGCTCTATTGAGAAGTCTATATGAAGATCCAAATGCTAACAAGATACCCAAATCACTTCTGTGAGGAGCCAGAGAAGGGGAACCAAATGGGCAGCAGTGAGCTCCCTGAAGAGCAGCTTGAAATGTATGGTGCAGCTGTGGTGTGTTTGGAAACAAAAGTAAATTGGTGTGCAGCAATTAGAGATGAGTGGCTTTTCACACACAGCATCATGTAGCCTGGGAAGCCAGGCTGCAGATCTGCACACAGTGAGGAACTACTTAGTCAGCATTGTAGCCACACAGCCAAAGAAAGGTGGACACAGGGTGAAAGTGGTGGTTCTCCAACTTCTGCACGTATCAGACACATGGAGGCTTATTAAAGCTGTTTTCTGGGCCCTGGCCCCTTTCTCTGATTCAGCAGGTCGGCCCAAGAACTGAATTCTAACAAGTTCCCAAATGCTGCTGCCACCACCACAGTTTGCAAACCACTAGCATAAAGTTAAGTGCCACGGGCTTTAGTCACCTTAGATGTGCGTGAGTAATGTAACTGCCTTATCTGTATGTGGATGATAGCACTGTATTAATATTTGACTCCAATATTACTTTTCTCTTGGCCTACTTAGGAGTCTCATTAAATCCTTCCTTCTGACTGTAGTGAACTCAGATTCTTCTATCTCTAGAATAGTTTCTTATACTCTGGCAAACATGTTTTGGGTCCTAGAATCTTACTCTTCTCGCAAGAACATGCAGTTCTGCCACCTGGTGCATGAAATATCCCTGCCAAAGAGTCAGTCTGGCTGTATATGAGCTCCTGGTGTCAAGAACTCACAACTTCCCAGTCAGCACACCTCATGTGTGGGAACCATCACTGTTGGAAAGCCCTCTTAGTAATGGGCCAAGATCTGTTTCCCTATAAGCATCACTTATTGGTCACAATTCCAACTCTTGCACAACAAGAGAAATAGAAGGTATTATTTCTAAGGTTTTGTGACTGTCTTCAAATAATAAGAGAAATCCTCTCATCCTTTCTTCCTTTACCTCTTTTTGGGTAAAGATTAGCATATTTGTTAATCATTCCTCACAGATAAGAAGCCAAGTACCAATACCATCCTGGTTGCTTGCTTCCTAACTTTTATACCCAGAATGTAATACAGTTCTCTAGTAGAGTGAAAGTAATATTCAGATAGCAGGGTGGTGTGGAAGTGTAACTTAGTGACTCACATCCTGTGAGTTGACATCAGAGATGCTGGAATTTGAATCCCCTCTCTGCCTTTTTAGCCTTGTGATTTCCAGCCTTTTTGAGATTCCTTTGCTTTATATTTAAAATGAGGTTAAAAACTCTACTTCATAGTCTGCTGTTACTGTAACAGAATACTTGAGGCTGAATACTTTGTTAATAAAAGAGGTTTATTTAGCTCAGTTTTGAGTGTTTCAGGAGTATGATAGCAGCATCTGCTTGGCTCTCGCAAGGCCCCACTGACCCAATGTATTATTACAGGACAAGAAGCCAGAGAAGGATTAGGGGTCAGGCTTGCTGTTTTATAAAAACTCACTCTCGTGTGAACTAACCTGGGTAGTATGGGAACTATACTGATCTCTTCCAATGGCAGTGCCTCCAACAACCGCAACTGCTGAAAGCCCCCACCTGTTAACATTGCCATACTGGGGAACAAGTTTCCAGCACATTAACCTGTGGGGGATAAAACCACATCCAGTCCTGGCAGGTGCCAAACAGAAAACAGCTATTTGAAAAGCAGTTAAATCCTTAGACTTCAACTTGCCAAAGAGGTGAAAAATTACCCCAATAGCCACTCACTCCCATAACCCTTGGCAGAGTCTGGCAATTCATTTTGTGGAGAGAGTAGTTGGGAGAGCTCTGAAATGAGAGATGCAAAGGATAGTTGAGGTTGTGGGTACTGTGACCAAAACTACAAGAATAAGTGACCACCTACAAACCAAATGCTCAATGCAACCGCCTTTCACACTGGTAGCCAGACCTTTATCCTTGAGGCAGGAGGCAGGAGAACTATTCTCATAGCACCTAACCTGCCTCAGAAGCAAGAGCTAAAGATACTGATACATCAGTAGCCCAATTAATAACTCGCCCAAACAACTGTTCACCAAACCTCAAAGCTGATAATCCCCTCAACTCACTTTCAAGGCTTCCTTTCAGCTCTCAGTCCTCCAAGATCATAAGGAGACATGGAGAAAGCTCACATGGAATAGTGAGCCAGAAACAAAAAAAAAAATAACTTGGAGGAAACAAGTGATACTATGAAAAAAATTTTAAAACTTTAATATCCTCAAAGAGATAAGAAAATAGGATGTATCCGTAAAATGAATAGGATCTTGCAAGAATTTCTGAGAACTAAAAAAATACAGCTCTTGGAAATTAAAAATATAATGTCAGAAGTGAAAATTTCACTAGTAGGATTGGAAACTAAAGCTAACAAAATCTCCAAGGAAGTGTGGAGCAAAGAGACAAGGTAGGGAGGTGTAATAAAAAGCTTCGATTAAAAAAAAAAAGAGACAAGGTAGGGAAAACAGGGAAGAAAAATGAGAAGACCATTCCAGGAGGTTTAACATTGAACAAGAGGTTCAGAAAGAGAGAGAGAATAGAGAAGGTGCAGAGGAGGAAATAATTGATTAGGTCATCCAGAAAAACTTTTGAAGCTGAAGGGAAGGAATTGCCTGATTCAAAGTCCACTTTCCCCTGACCTCGGGGAATGAAGATAGTCCCATTTCAGGACACAGCACTGAATTTCTCTAATGCTTCAGTGGTTATACAATGAATAAGAATTAGAATGGTTCCAATCCCTGAGCAGCAATGCTGGAAACAAGATGACCAAGTAAAAGTATGGCCTTCAAAGTTCTGAAAGAAAAGGTTTTCTGGCCTGGAATTTTTTAACCAAGTAATCATTAAAGCCTAAAAGTCCAGAACAGACGTTTTCAGACATGCAAGTTCCCCAGACCTTCACCTCATGCATGCTTTCTATTGGCCTACTGGACAATGGGTTACACTAAAGGGATGGTAAACCTAGAAAGAGAAAGACATGGGTCATAGACAGTCAACTTAGTAGGATGGTGAAGGAATCTGGCAGGTGACATCTATGATCCAGACACAGCCCATGCAGTTCATGTTCATTGTAGCCGAGTCTCGGGACACAACATGTGAGGCTTCCATCATGGATGTGCCCACTGGCATCATACAATATTTTTAATTCAAGGAGAGACTGTCCAGATCGCCTGCCCTAGATTCTCAAGTGTGCTTGGCCTGGCGTGGCCACGTGCTGCTGAGTCCCTGCCCTCCTTTTCATGTCCTGCTGCCGCACAGCTGAGAATACTCTTCATCCAAAAGAGGTTTTGATTGGAACTTTTCCTGAGAACTGGAGGTGGGCCATGAAGGGCTTGGAGGCAAAAAATAGAGAGTAGCCACCTGCCCTGGCCATATTTTTATAAGAGTTCCAATTTAGTTTAGAAGGGACATGAATATGTAGAGCAAAATAAAATAACAAAGAAAAGTCATGCATGCTAAGTGGCCAGCATCAGTTTTCCTGTTCTATGCCTTATAGGGAGTAAGTCTTTTTAAAGTGGCAAGTTCAGAGTGAGGTGAGGTGCAAAGACTTGAGAACTGTATTTCACCAGTTTGTACATGTGTCCATAAATGAATGCAAATAGATATTTCAAGAAGTAAAAAGAGGTCTGTGTTTAAGAAAATTTCAGAAACACTTAAGTAAGGCCCTAGATTTCTCACAGTTTTAAATGTGCTAATGGACATTGTTAATGAGAGGCATGAATATTGCAATTGACTATTTGACCACGAAGCCCTGTTTTTGCAAAACATCTGATGTCTTAAAGAGTATACTGTTCCTCAGAACAGTGTGGGAACTGGTGATTTGGAGTAAAGTATGAGAGAAGAACTTTAATATGATTTACCTGAAAGGAAACAAAATTTTCTTAAATGTTTAATTTTTGCAGAAAAGGTTTAGAGTACCTTTTATATAACTTACAGTTTCTTGGTAAGAAAAATGATTATATTGTGGGCTAAAGTGTTCTGGATCTTAGGTAGGTTGGACTTAAGTCTTGATTGTATTTGACCATCAAGAGAAAAAGATTAATTTCACTCACTTATACTTAATGGTAGTTGGTAATTCACTTTGTCATAGTGGTTTCAGGGTTGGGTGGGGGATGAAAGACTAAGTTACAGCTTCTCAGACCTTATACTTTTTGTACCAACTTAAAATGTTGGCAGTCAGTAGAATGGGGTTTAATACTCACCTCTGCCTGATAAAGTTTACTGTAGTGTAAAAATATGTTGGGCTGGGTTTGGAAGTCAAGATGAGTATTGATAATTGTACTTTAGGTTCACTTCCATAGCATTATTGATATATAATACAACTGTAGATTTTCTCAGTTCCCTACTTTGGGTTTTTTCAGACTTATTATGAATATTTAACACTTAAAAATCTAATCTACGTAGTTTATATTGAGACCTTCTAGATAGGCATTTACATTGTAAAATGATTCTAGCTATTACATTCATTTGTATGTTACATAAATCTTTCTCTCTCATTTGTACATTTTAGTTTCAACTACCTCTGAGGGAACATCTTCCTTTTCCACTTTATCCATATCATCTCCTGATTCAGCCCTTCCAGAGAAGTCAGCTCATTGCTTGCCCCCGATTTTGGCTGGACCTTCCTTCTGGACTCTGTCCCACCAGAAGTCAGCTTCTGCCTCCTTTAAACATAGAAATAAAGCAGCCAGGGCTCACTACCCCTGCCCTACCAGGGGCCCCACATCTTCTGATGAGGAGGAATATGACAGCCTCAGTCTGAGGGAAATTCTTCCAGATAACTCCGACTCAACTGAAAAAAAGACAAGTCCTATTCCCAGCAGGAATTGGGTAGCATTTTCCACCCACACTGTAGGTCACCTCCCCTCCGTGTCTTGTTCTAGTTTTCAAGCTACCCAGGGCTCACCCAGGGAGCCTGAGTCAAACAATTCCATCGGAGTTCTTCTAGGGGAGGTGAAAAGTGCAGTAGTCAGGCTTCACGAGGATCTGAGCATGGTGATACAAGAGCTCGGTGTCATCAGCAGCCGTCTGGTAAGAATGGGGGGCAACAGTCCAAAAGCCAACAGATACTTGCAGGACCCTCCGTCTTCTGAGGAGAGCTCAGATCATACCTAATCACCTCGGTTGCCATTTTGGATACACAAGTTAACATTTTGCAGATTCTCATTACTATGGGGGAAAGGTGCTGGTTTAGTTTTTCCTCATCAGGTTTGTTAAGTAACTTTCACATCAACAGATTCATTTGAGTGGTATGGTTTTTTTCCAAGAAAAAGATGTCACCTTTGATAATTTCAAGATTTAGATATTATTTCAGTTGAAACAAGAATGTCATTCTTCTGTGCTCTTTACCTCAAAATGGGTTAAGCATTAGTGAAAGTTCTATCAAGACTTTAAACTGCAACTCACTGTTTGAAGGCTTTTGAATAAGAGAGCATGAAGGACCTTTTACTTTCCAGCTGTCTGTGGCTTCATTGCAATCAGGCCACTATCTTGATGTAGAAGGACTGAGCTTGGGGTGTTTTCACAAGTTTTCTTGGAAGTTGCAGGTTCTACAAACCAAGGGCCAGAAGACTTCTTTTCAAGACACAGTTGTCAAGAGTTAAGTTGAAGCAAGTAGGGACATGGGACAGGTGTTTTTATTGTTAGTATACATCGCAAAGTGAATTCAAGTACATACTTTTTTTTTTTCAAGAAATAAATTTAATTTTTTCATCCTATGACTTGCTGTGCTTAGATTCTAAATAGTCAGTCTGGCTTTGGCAGAAGTGGTGTAGGGACAGGGTGAGGCAGTAAGCCATTTGGATGGCTATTGCAAGTTTTAAGAGCTGATGGCAGCTCAGAGTGGGGTGGGCACTGCAAAGGTACATGAGAACTAATTTGGGATTTAATGATGGGTTGAGCAAAATATATCAGATAAAAAGAGAAGTCAAGGATGAACTACAGATCCTAGACTGCACAACTGAGATTCAAGATGAAGTTCCTGCAACTAACTGAGTTGAGGAAGGCTGCAAGTAGAGAAGATTTTGAGTTCACTTTTGGGTTTGTTAAATTTCAGATGTCTCTTAAATAGCCAAGTAGAGGTATTAATTAAGACCTGGATGTGGGAGTTGGGTTTGAGAGGTCTAGATTAGAGCAGAGGCTGGCAGACAACGTTAGATTGTTATTTAAAGGTGTGTGACTGGATGAACTCACTAAAGACTGAGTGTAATAGTGGAGAGAAGCTGAAGGCCTGAGCCCTGGGCCGTTAGCTCAAGAGATTAGGAAGCAGTTGAAGAACCAACAGAAGAGGCTGAAGAAAGCCACCACTGAGGCAGGAGCAAAATGATAGTGCAGGGCATCTGGAAGCCAAGCACATACAGTGAGCATTGAATACCCCTAGGTCCTTACCCAGTTCATCAGTTGTTAACACTGTTCCATGTTCACTTTATCTCCCTCTCTCACAAAATATGTTTATGACTGTCTCCACATTATATAGACACACACATACCTAATATTGCATACATAAAGATTTTGCTGAACCATGGGAAAATAAGTTGCAGACATCATGACACTTTATCACCAAATACTTCAGTCACATGAATAATGGCAATTCTTTTCCAACCTGCATTCCAGCTCACTTACTCTCTCTTCAGCTATGTCTAGTTTATTGTTAAATCATCATATCAGGTTTTTAATACAGCCATTACATTTTTCATTTTTAGAATTCTGCATGGTTCTTTTAAAATCTGCTGTGTTGTTTCTCATAGATTAATGTTTCTTGCAGATATTTTCAAGCATATCTGTACTAGTAAGAACAGTAGGAAAATCAGTATCGAATTCTCACGAGTAAGAATAGCAAGTTAACTAGAGAGTATTCTTAGCAAGAATAATTTTCTATATTATTTAAAGCTTTATTTATTTTACTGGGTGAATCCTACAAAGTTTAAGAAATTGAAATATAATTCACATGGCATGAAATTTGCCCTTTTAAGGACAATTTAGTACATTCAGAAGGTTGAGTAGCCATCACCACTACCTAATTCTAGTAGAACATTTTCCTCACTACAAAAAGATGCCCCATTCCTGTTAGCAGCTATTCTCCACTCCCCCCCACTCCAGGTCCCTGGCAACCACAGCTTTCCTGTCTCTCTCTATGATATTTTCATGTCTCTATGATATAAATGTAATCATGTAAATGTAACCATGTAATTTGGGGGGTTTTGTGCCTGACATCTTTCATTTAGAACATTTCTGACACTCATCCATATGGTAGCACTTCATCAAGTATCAGTACCTCATCTCTTTTTACGGGTGAGTAATACCCATCATGCATGCATGCCACATGTTGCTAGCCATTCATCGGCTGATGGACATTTGAGTTATTTACACTTTTTTCCACTGTGAATAATGCTGTGAACATTTGGGTGAACATATGTTTTCCTTAGGTATGTACTGAGGAGTGGACCTTCTGGGTCAGGAAGTAACTCTCATGTTTTACTTTTTGAGGAGCTGCTAAATGATTTTTCAAAGTGGCCATACCAGTTTGGTTCAAAATACATTCTAATTCCTGTCATGAAGGTGTATAGAAGTACATTTCCTGATTTCCAAGCATACTTTACTGTCTGATAAAGTTTTGTGGGTATATTTCTGCTCTCCATTGGCTCTGCTACTTTATACTCATGATGTCAAGTTTCCTTCTAAGAGGATGAACTGCATGGTGATCATGACACTAAAAAATGCTTTTTAAGAAAGCACATGAACTTGTTTTTTGCTTCTGCCACATGCCATACACTACCACACTGGCTAAGTAAATCAAAATCAAGGCTTGAAGTTCTCCAGAATGCTCAGGTTAATCCCACACTGAAATTCCTCATCAGAAATGACTTGTTTCTGTGCCTGTGACTTTATAGACTTCCTGTCTTGAGCAGGGTGACTTCTGTCTCTTTCACCTTTCATGACCATACAAATGGGAGTTTGAATTTGTTAGAAGCCACAAGTGCCCTTAGGGAAAAGTGGCTTCTGTGACCATTTACCTGGAAAGTCTCTGCCTTATAGAGAACCTATTATTTGTACAGCTGGACACCAGGCCCTGGAATTAGAGGGGGAGTAAAGACAGATATAGTGCCTTTTCCTAGAAGGTGTGAGTTACAGAGTTTTAGAGGAGTTTGACAGATTAATCAAATTGTACCCCAAAATGTAAAAATCTAGTTGTTCTGGGGAGAACATTAGAATTTGACCTGGTCAAGAATCTGGGTAAAGTTTATCTAAAGAAGTAACTTTTGAGCTGCATTTTGAATTCCAGGATTATTGAAATAGATGTGCTGATGACATGTTGAGCAAATAAAGTTCTTATGAATTAAAATAGAATGTAAAATAAGGATGATACCTTAAGACATCATTTTCTGATTTTCTTCATCTGGGAGATCCAGTAGATTCTTAGGTGGTGGTAGGATATATATCTCCTTTTTGTTCTGGCTCTGAGGCGTCTTAATTATCCATTACTAAGAGTGGAGAATAAAAAGTGCCTCCCAGACTCAGCACTCCCCACCCCCATCTCAGAAGGTGCTGCGTCAGGAATCTTGAACACTTGCAGAACTCTTTAAGTAACTGAGGCCACAAAACTACCCTTTCCAGAAACTACCTCACTTATTTCATACGTACTCCATGCACAGAATCACTTCACATTTTAACTAGGTGTTACATAACTCATATATTTTAGTGCAGCAGTTTGTTAATTAGTATAATTAACAAGCACTCATTTGAGTTTCTATTTAGCCAACTCCATTAAATGAGTAGAATAAACTTGGCTTAAATTAAGAGGGGTATATTCTGATTGACTTGCCATTATCTCAGGTTAAAAATACTTCATTAGATGTTATTCTCATACGTTTTTTAGTTTGAACTTGAGGATCCTATTGTAAGGCAGTTATAAAAGTATTTTACAGTTTACTTACTGTCATATTGCTCTTGTGTTCATTCTTTAAATATTTATTACACAGCTGTTATGAATAGGCAATTTACCAGACATCAGGGACACAATGGTAAACAAGATGGATGTGTCCCCATCTTCAGAGGACAGCTCAGTGGCCAAGCAGAGAGAGGGATGGGTTGTGGCACCATGCTGTGTGGCGCCTGTGGATTTGGGGGCACAGGTCCTGGTAAAGAGCACCAACCAGCTCTGAGTGGCAGTCGGGGAATGCTGCCTGAAGGAAACGAATCCACACAGAATCCTGAAGGATAAGCAGGAGTAGCCAGGCAGGGAGTTTGGGGTGGGGGATGGGGCTTTCCAGGTACAGAGGGCAGCATGTCTGGTGGGAGCAAGAGAACAGGAAGTTGGAATCTGGAATGCTCAGAAGTGGTGGGTGAGGAATTTGAGCACTTTTTTCAGCTTCGGGCATTGTGACTCTCAGGTGGCCTTTACAGGTGCCATCCAAGAAAAGACTGAGTGACAAGTAAGTGGAGCATATTGAAAATAAAATGCCATAGAAGTTTGGGGATGAACAGGTTTCCAAACTCCATGCACAAATTGATAAAAATAGACTTTTAAAGGGGTTTTGAGGCCTTGGTGACTCATCTTCCCACCAAATGAACTTCTTGTGACAGTGCTGTGCCCGAGAGTGTGCAAGGAGCCCCTTTTTTGGTGTGTCCTCATTTTAAAGAAAGGGGACATGGAGAACAGCTCGGTGGATCGGTTACATACTCACTATTCTGGGGACTTTTTCTAAGTTCTGCCTTCTGTTTAATAGAGTGGATTCCTAGATATGATAAAAGGGTGTAGAGATGTGGACTTGTGAGATTTTTATTTCTTTCAGAACACCAAGTAATTTGAGGAGGCCAGGCACATTATTGTTATGCCAGCATAGACATGCCACCTTTTATCAGCAGGCAGGCTTAGGGAAGAGTAAATTGGCTCAGAAGAAACCAGGTTTTCAAGATGATTTTGTTTGGTAATTTTGAATTCTGTGTTCTCATTGATGGTGCAGAAAGTTCTCAAAGCTATGGTAATTATTGCAGAATTATGGCTTTGGGCATTTGCAGCTATTCAAACAGTAAAATTCCATTATAAAATATCACAATCTATGCAGTCAGTTATGCTGAGTTGAGAACTTGTCCCCTCTACTCTGCACTGCATATGT